GATATGCCTGAATATGAAAATGAATTTATCTCCACATTGGGAAATTTTATAAAACTAGAAATACAGGATACACTGGGAATCAAAATTAATTTATTTCTGGGGTAACCGTACACTTTGAATTAATGTAAAATTCACTTCCTTATTACATCTTTAAAAATTGTTCAAACTATCTATATAAATCTATTAAAGATATTCCCTGAACTTTTTTCTAATATTATTTTTGACCTATTTTCAAAAAATTTTTATGCCATAAAAATTGACACTAAAAGCATTTATCATATTTGATTTTTGACCTCAAAAATCGGGGATTAAAAAATCACTATGACACTAAAATGACCACATTTCTTTAAAATTGCTTGTTTAAGCTCATTATATAATTTTTTTTTCTTTATACAGTATAATATCTTGATGTCAAATCACAATACATTATTCTGTAGTGTGTAGAGTCCTGAAATACATATTTTTAGATGGGCCAAATTTAGAAAGCAAAGAAACAATCAGACTAATAGCTAGATTTCAAGTTTTATCTAAAATTGACAAGCACATAAACATTCAAAAAAACAGTGAAGTTTCAAGATATTTAAAATTGACAAGCACATATTAAAACAATCAAATACATCTGTGACAGTACATGTAAACACACACTAAACAATCAAAATAATGGCTATATTTTAAGTTCTACCTAAAATTGATAATCAAGTAAACAAATAACCACAATACTCAAATTTAACACTTCCAATAGATTTCCCCCTGTGCTATCTTGCAATGCAAATTTAAGCCTACATGTATCTCAAGTTAAGGTTGTAATTATACCATGTACATGTAACTATTGAAAATTAGACAACATACATTGTACATAAGAAAATATTGTGCCACACACCAGAGCTGAGTACGTACATATACTTCTGCAAATATCGATAAACGGTCAATTTATTACACCTGTTATCTAGCTGTTATCCACATAAAAAGTACACCTCATATGTAATTAAAATTAAATATTAGTTAAATCCTTTATCCTATAGATAAACTGGGTTCTAGATATAAAAGTTGATATTTAAGTCTATAATGCAGTGTTTCACAAACTTCACTGTTTGGCTGTAAGTTGGCGAATCTGTGCATAAGCGAGATGCCCAAAAATTGTTTTTCACATTGTTTTCTCCAAATGTCTTCCAGCTTGAATGGATGGCGTTCTTATATTTGCCAGAGTGCTGCATGTCTGGCTTTTTGAACTGTTCCTTTCATTGAGTGGCAGTCTAAATCTGAAAAAAAAAAATTAAAACTCAAAAAATCATTTATCAATGTACATATATTAATTGATTGTTTATGATATATGGTCTGTCATATTTTGACCATATTCTGGTGACAAGACAAATGAAATTGTATATGAAACAAATTCCACTAAATAATTCATAATCTTGCTATTAAGCTTCATAAAACCCCTATAAAAGTATATAACAGGGTCAATTATTAAAAATTCTAACATTAGGTTCTTTTTTTTCTCTTTTAATATGAAAGTACATGTATTAAATACCAGTACTGGTGGAGAAACGATGCAGTAACATATCTGAGAAGTGCACTGGTGTGTATTAAGGTTGAATTTGTAAATATTATGTAGTGTAGGGTTGCATGTTAATTGACATCTTTTAAATTAATTATTAGGTCATTATTTTAAGACTTTTTTCCCAAGGCCGTAACTACCATTGAGGTAAGTATTTAAAATTTTTTGAGTTTTGAAAAATGAAAAAGTTTTACATTAAACTTCTGAATTATATGTGTCTTCAATCTAAATTAATATACTAGTATTCGAATTTTGTTTCAATTTCTGTAAATCGTTCATCTCACCAGGTGCCTCATTTTCAATTAGAACGCATGTAAAATTTTTTTTGTGCCATCACTTAGTACTGTGACAAAGGACTTTGGTTTTTACAGTCTCTTCCGAAGGACCTGTCTACATCCCGCAGTGGGATTCGAACCCGCGATGTACATATCAACTCCTTAGTCTGCGATTCTAGAGCATACGCTCTAACCACTGTGAAATGCAGGCGACAATTCAATTTTCAGGATCCCTCCCCTCCCCCTGGAAACCCTATCACTGGCCATTATTATCCTTGCCCCAACTGGGACTTGGAATACCCAGTACCCTTGCCTCATTAAAAATTCGAGCCTAGTTACGGCCTTATTTTCAGTAAATTGTGTATGATATTTTTGTTTACTTGATTATCAGAATGGGAAAGTGTTGGGTGTGGACCATGGATACTTACTCTTCTACAGCATCTGATCCCACCCTCTTTTTCAGATTGTCTACTCATAATTTGAATAGTATAAAATGACTTTTGAACTTAAATCACTCATACTGATATTCACTAGGGATGTCAACGAATATTCAGAAAGAATAGTCAATATACATATATTCGACTATCGTTTGATCATACGGACTGATATTAATTTCATACAATTATTGATAGTTTGCACAAGATTTCATAATATATCGTAAAAATTGGCTTCAATTATGGGGTACATATAATAAAATTTCTTTAGTAGGTTATTTGTTAAAAATGTGTTTAATCAAAGTAATTTTGAATTCAGGGCAATAAACTTATATTTACCCATTTCATTTATTTACAAATCAATAGTCTCATATGTAAAATTAAGGGTATGGTATAACTGTTCAAAGGAAATTATTTGTAGGTCGATGCATGTTAAAGTGGCAAACATGTATATTCAGAAAGAATATCAATATATCCATATATTACTAGTAAACAGCTATTACCAAATCGTAAATACATGTAAATCAGGACCAATTAATATGATAGTAATTAAACCGCGTAATCAGTTTTTTTGGCTAGATATTAATTTCATACACATTATTGAAAGTTTGCACAAGATTTAATAATATAAATTTTTAGCTCTCGCTCTCTCTTTGTTTTTATAAGAGACGTGGTTTAATTAGTTACCTGTCAAAGATCATTAACAGACATGTAAAAATTGGCTTCAATTATGGGGTACATATATACTACCGTTATGTAAAGTTATGTAAAGAAAGAACAAATACAGGCGTTTGATATCCTGCATTTAGATAAAATGTGCAGATAATATTATTAATTTTGAAATTAAATACATTGGATAATGGATACATATTGATGTACAGTTTTTATTGCACTACGTACATGTTTACAATTCAGAAATTCGTTGTACTAGTATAATGGTGATAGCACAGATTAATAAATATTGTAAACTAGTCTGTAAAAGACAAACAGTGAAACAAACAGTGAAACTGGTATGAAAAAATATTTAAAATTAAACGAATATTTGACTATCTTTTGACTTAAGCATCCTAGTAACTAAGCTGTCCGAGTAAAATTGACATCCCTATAATATTCACAATTCATTGAAACATGTAAATATGATTCCCTCACCTGCAAAAAAATCAGTTTTTTCCAGTAGAACATCTTTACACACTCATAACTCTGAAAATATAATTTAATATTCTAAATATTTTATCAAGTTATTTTGTTATATTTCCCAGGGGCCAATGTTCACCTGAGAGATGGACACCTTATTGTCTCATTTTTAGACTTCTATACATAGGAAAATTCCCTTCAAAATGCCTCCACCCTATCCTAATAGGTTGTGCATATCTGAACATATAAAAAATACAGTATATAAACGATAGTGAGTTATGTATTAAAGATTTTTACAAGCCGATGAACGTCTATCATGATTTACATGCTATTAATGTAATAATATTTTCAATTCCAATAAAATAAAACTAATTCCCTTGTTAATCATAGATCTTTCCTTTTCTCCCTCTTCCCAAATCTGAGAGAAATTAAACCCCATCACTAATTCCCTTGTTAATCATAGATCTTTCCTGTTTTTCTCCCTCTTCCCAAATTAATTAAGTCTTAATACAGAGCTCCATATGATATACAAAAATGATCAAATTTTAAAACTAAAATGTCTGAATTCTTTTCTTTGTTAATAAAAGTTCTGAAAAAAATACTGAATATTGTTGTTTACATTGAGAACAGTAAAAGTGAGAGTTTTGGGGATCTTGAACCCAACATTATTTTACTACATTCCTCCCCCTCATATTTTTAAGTTTTTAATTATATTGTTTTATTGTAAATACTTATATATATTGATAATTAAAATTGTTAAAATTCCATTTATTTATACTCTTAAAATTAAAAAAAAAAAATACTGACTCTGACTTTAACTAGCATGATGCTAAATGAGAACAATCAGACAATCTGACAGGTCATCATCTGTATCAATGTTCCCTAATCTACACTTAAAACATTCTTTAAAATAAAATAAACAGATTTTAGAGTAAAATATCTTGATAAAATAGTTTTTTAGATTTTAAAAGTATATTTTGAAAGGTTTTATCGTGTTTATTTATTAATGATTTATTAGAAAACTCCTCCAACAAAAACATCAGACTATCCGACATCAGTGATGGAAAATTCTCCAATAATTCTTGACGTAAATAAAAAATGCATTTATTAATTAAAAATTTCTAGAAATAAATTTTCCAATTGTTTGAATCTGCAGCTTTGATAGGCTTGACTGAAATAGAATATGGGGTTATAGTTTAAATCTAGTATGGGGCTGTGGCCTTGGTGTATTGATGTGAGCTGAAGAATGGCCTACTTCCTCAGCTCTTGAAAGTTTAAAGATTGTGAGAATGATCTGTTTTGTGAAAGTGATCTTGGTCTTGAATACGCCTGATGTAAACAGTCTCTTGCGTAGTGACCCATCTCACCACACTGGAAACATTCCACCGGTTTGGCTCTTTCAGGACTATATGATCTTGATTGATCATCTCTTGTAGGAGATTGTGATGGTGATTCGTATCTTGGTCTTGATTCTCTCTGTGTCTCAGACACCCATCCCCCCTTCCACAGCTTGGTATATGAATGTACACATAATATTAAATATAATATATATATTATATTTCTAAATTAGTCATTAAGATGACCAGAGTTAATATACAACCCTTATCTTTAACATCTTTATTAAGGTGACCAAACACATAATAACTAGTGTTAATTATAACGGTGACATTTACAGATGTTCCCCAAATGCTGTCCAACTCCCTTTTTGTGCCTCATTCCTATAAGATATAATCTTCAAAAAATATGATCAGTATCAAAGGATACTTTGTTTGGGGAACATAATTAAGTAACATGTTCTCTTCCACTTCCCATAAGTGGCATAAGATAAAATGTAGCCTATCAAAATGCCAATGGGCAACAATGCTCTCTGAAATCTTCTCTCTTTCTAATAGCAGACACCCCCGCATCCCCCCTTCCACAGCTTGAAATTTTCATCATATTTCCTTTCAAAGACAAATTATATGTTCAAGATTAACAATCAACAACAAATACAATAAACTCTAGCAATGTGAATGAACCACAGTGCCTATACAGTGTTTTCCCTAAGAACCGGCAACCGGCCAAATTGACCGCTTCAGTTGACAAAAATGCCGGTTTGAAATAAAAATTTGTTGTAACTTGTAAGGTCCACAGAGATTCTGTTCATAAACTTCAGTCATCAGCCTGTTACAACTGATCTCTAACCCTTTACTTTGAAATAAAGGGAAATCACTGCTATATGTAACAAGATTAACCAAACAAGTCCATGTGCTGACCAATACATGATCGACTGAGTACAATTCAACTGAGTGCTTGCTAGCACGTTTACTATGGGCATTTACCTGTAACGACACAAATCCACATGGCTTGTTGTTTACACCTTAAAACTTATTATATGATATAGTGACAGTCTGAGAAATCTGCGTAATTTGCAACTCGTGGATTAAATGGAAATTGAGATTCCGCGGAAATATGACCCTCGAAAAACTATGTCTACAGTATCATTGGAGGCCCTAAATTCGTTACGGTCCTAGAGTCATTCCCCTTTTATTTACCTTGAAAATCTCTCAAGATTTCAACCCCTGTTACACCACATCATCACAACAAAATATTTTGATTGATTTTGTCATATTTTACAACTGCTGAAGATTATATGGACGAAGGCAAGCAAAAGTATAATCAGACACAAAATTTCCTCTTGCATAGCATAAATTTTGCTATAATTACCACATATGATAAAAAAGAAAGTATTTCATATTTTTTTCTTACATCCTATCTCAAGTGTATTGGTGCTATGGTACCCATTGTTTTAAAATATCAAGTCTACATATGTCCCATATCTGATTTGGAATTTTTGGCCTGTATAACGTAATTTCCACTAAGGTCATGACCCTAGGACCTGTGTTTAATATGGTGCTGGGTAAAGCTCGGTACTCTAAACAGCATGTAAACAATCAATAAATGCATGATTTTTTAAAACTATCAATTCAATCGAAAGAAAAAATATTTACAACAAGTTGCTGTCCATTAAAAAAGGACTACAATACGTGGACCACATGCATGTGTCTTTAACCGAAATTCATGCAATTCAAATAATTTCTAGGTTTGATGAATATTCATGTAGGTTGTTTCACTTTTTCTACAATGATCTGCCTACTTATGACTGATTGAAGTCTCAAAGCGAAATTGTTAAATTTTACTCCGATTATAGCCTTTAGTTTTGTCAGTTTAAAAAATTGGGTTATCCTGATACATGTAACCCATAATGGCTGGTATTGACACCTACATGTAGGCCTGTTCTGGATTTATACTGAAGCAATCTATCATGGGAAAAATATATCTGATGGTACACGTGTAGCACAGCTCTGTAGTACGCAGATCCCCCCCCTTAAAAATCTGTTGCTATACCTCTATTATAGGGAAAAGAGTACCAATTAATTTCCCATAGAACTCTATACAAACCTTTTGCCCTCCAAGTAATTTACTAATTCCCGTTCAAACAAATCACTGGTATTATTTGAAAGTTCGGTCTAAGCACTTAATAAAAACACGAAAAAAAATATACCGTTCCGCGGCGTTTATAGGTCAAATTTTCATTTATTTAGAACTTACAGAGATCGGCAATAAATGACACCCTGCCAAAAATATCAATCCCCACTCCTACAATCTCCCCTGGTATTTCTATATTTTCTGTAATATTCCCACATTCCATCATTTATTTCAAACATTAATATTTTTACTTTAAAATGAAAATATTTACATACCTCTATTCAGCCAATCAGGTAAAGCCTATCCATTTATTACTCTGCTTCATCTTGTTCAACCAGGAAATGATGTCAAAATCTGGGTCTTTGGTACTCTTTTTCCTATACTTACATACTTACCTATCCTAGAATTAGTCAATTTTGTAATTTTCAAAGACCTTATACTTACCAATATACATGTATGAAATTTGAGGCCTGTCACTTCAGTGTCTTGGAATCTGTGGCCATCTTAATGAATGTCACCTCCCTGCTGCAGGTGCTTTTCCAAAGAGTGAAAAACTTTCATTCCTGTGATGAAATCTGGATGCAGTTGTCACTGTAATGAATAAAATATTTATAAAATAACATGATTTTGTTTTTGGATGTTAATAAAATGATATAAAGTCATAATTGTGTCAATTTTTTCATAGGGGTGGAATCTACCCAAAATAAAGAAAAAAGGTCCAAAATTTGAAAAATCATAATTAATTAAGCAAAATTAAAAGGTTTTACAAAGACTGATATAGAAATTTTCTTATGCTTATGAAAAGTAAATTGCTTGAGACTCTGATATACTAAATGATTCTTATCTTAACCCTCCTGTTGCTTAAGTATATACAAAAAAGTTTCCCCACCCCCCAGTGAAAGACACTTAGAGAAATAGCAGGTGTCCCCGATTATATTTGTTTACAATTAATTCAGACAAGATAAAATTAATACTTTTGATAACAAATCAAAGTGCAGTGTCTGATAGTCTTACACAGTACAACCATAATCTACATTATTGAATTTCATGCTTTAAAAAGGGGAATTCGGATTAATTTGTAAAAAATTAAGAAATGCAATAATTGATTTAAAACCCCAAAATGTACACCACAATAAGAGGCTAAAAAGTTAATAAATGAAAAATTTACCTGCAATGTACAGAAATCTGTCTGACAAAATATATCGGGTGGGTAGCGAGTCTCCATCTTCTTCTTATATAGAGAAAATGCCCCCCGCCGATCAGATACCAAGCTCTCCGGGTCCAGGAAGCTGAAATATGAAAGTCCTCTATAGTCTTTAAATGAAAATAAATCAATAAAGTTAGTCAAATTAAGCATATATCATAAAGAAAACAGCAATAATTTTCAAGTTTTCTGAAAAATTACCAAATTACATATCTTCTACATGGCCGAATGTTTAAAAAATGGATCCGTCAAGGGTGGAATACATGTTTTACAATTTTACATGTAATTGCATGTAAATACTAGAAAAGTCAAATGCGATACATGCAGTAATGTCATTCCAATAATTCAAGAAAACAAAATCAGAAGCCTAAAGTCACAATAATTAAGATTATATCATGTTGAAATTCTACATATTTGGTTAGCTAGTCTAAGGGAAGTATCTCTAAGTACAAAAACTAGAAAGCAGTAGAAAATGAGTTGCAGAGAGTCACCCATCTTCGCTGGCCAAGTGTTTCTGATACACTACTCTCCCCATAAACCCTTGGCATACGGTGAAGTCAAAAGACGGGATTGTTTTCCGTCACGTGATCTCGAATCTATCAGATACGCACAGATTGCGTCATCGCCAGAAATAAAGACACGTTTAAAAAAAAAATTAAATCGAAGTTTTTTTCAAGAATTATTAAGAAGCAATAATTGAGGTATGTTTATTTATTATGTATAGAACAAATCTGAAGCTTCATTATAGATTCTTAATCACACATTTAGAAGATATTGGATGACACCATGGCTATTCATAGAAATGAATGTTATATTACGGATCGTTGTTTACTTGCGTTTTTCATTTCCGAGATTAAAGAGTGAAGATGTTTTCCGAACGCAAATATCGTCATTTACAAACAAGAGGCCCATGGGCCACATCGCTCACCTGAGAAGCTTTGACCATTCTGTTCTTTACCAGATTTCACCCTTGTTATACATAATGCATCCCCACCCTACCCCACTGATCATAATTTAGACATTTTGAAATCTACACTACCCCATGATCCTTCCATGGGCACATATGTTTAAGCTTTTTTGGCCCAGTGGTTCCTGAGAAGAAGATTTTCAAAGATTTTTCCTATATATTTCTATGTAAAACTTTGATTCCCTATAATGGCCTGCCCTTCCCCCAGAGGTCATGATTCCTACAACTTAGAATTTACACTACCCCAGAATGCTTCCACATAAGCTTCACTTTTTCTGGCCCAGTGGTTCTTGAGAAGAAAATTTTCAAAGAATTTTCCTATATATTTCTATATAAAACTTTGATTCCCCATTGTGGCCCCGCCCTTCCCCCGGGGGTCATTATTTGAACAATTTAGAATCTACATTATACCAGGATGCTTGCACATAAGTTTCAGCTTTTCTGGCCCAGGGGTTCTTGAGAAGAAGATTTTCAAAGATTTTTCCTATATATTTCTATATAAAACTTTGATACCCCATTGTGGCCCCGCCCTTCCCCTGGGGGTCATGATTTGAACAATTTAGAATCTACACTATACCAGGATGCTTCCACATAAGTTTCAGCTTTTCTGGCCCAGTGGTTCTTGAGAAGAAGATTTTCAAAGATTTTTCCTATATATTTCTATTTAGAACTTTTATTCACCATTATGGCCCCGCCCTTCCCCCGGGGGTCATGATTTGAACAATTTAGAATCCACATTATATCAGGATGCTTCCACATAAGTTTCAGCTTTTCTGGCCCAGTGGTTCTTGAGAAGAAGATTTTCAAAGATTTTTCCTATATATTTCTATGTAAAACTTTGATTCCCCATTGTTGCCCCGCCCTTCCCCCGGGGGTCATGATTTGAACAATTTAGAATCCACATTATATCAGGATGCTTTCATATAAGTTTCAGCTTTTCTGGCCCAGTGGTTCTTGAGAAGAAGATTTTCAAAGATTTTTCCTATATATTTCTATGTAAAACTTTGATTCCCCATTGTTGCCCCGCCCTTCCCCCGGGGGTCATGATTTGAACAATTTAGAATCTACATTATATCAGGATGCTTCCATATAAGTTTCAGCTTTTCTGGCCCAGTGGTTCTTGAGAAGAAGATTTTCAAAGATTTTTCCTATATATTTCTATATAAAACTTTGAATTCCCATTGTGGCCCCGCCCTTCCCCCGGGGGTCATGATTTGAACAATTTAGAATCTAAATTATATCAGGATGCTTCCACATAAGTTTCAGCTTTTCTGGCCCAGTGGTTCTTGAGAAGAAGATTTTCAAAGATTTTTCCTATATATTTCTATATAAAACTTTGAATTCCCATTGTGGCCCCGCCCTTCCCCCGGGGGTCATGATTTGAACAATTTAGAATCTACATTATACCAGGATGCTTGCACATAAGTTTCAGCTTTTCTGGCCCAGTGGTTCTTGAGAAGAAGATTTACAAAGATTATTCCAAAATATTTCTATGTAAAACTTTGATACCCTATTGTGGCCCCGCCCTTCCCCCGGGGGTCATGATTTGAACATTTTAGAATCTACACTATACCAGGATGCTTGCACATAAGTTTCAGCTTTTCTGGCCCAGTGGTTCTTGAGAAGAAGATTTTCAAAGATTTTTCCTATATATTTCTATTTAGAACTTTTATTCCCCATTATGGCCCCGCCCTTCCCCCGGGGGTCATGATTTGAACAATTTAGAATCCACATTATATCAGGATGCTTCCACATAAGTTTCAGCTTTTCTGGCCCAGTGGTTCTTGAGAAGAAGATTTTCAAAGATTTTTCCTATATATTTCTATGTAAAACTTTGATTCCCCATTGTGGCCCCGCCCTTCCCCCGGGGGTCATGATTTAAACAATTTAGAATCCACATTATATCAGGATGCTTCCATATAAGTTTCAGCTTTTCTGGCCCAGTGGTTCTTGAGAAGAAGATTTTCAAAGATTTTTCCTATATATTTCTATGTAAAACTTTGATTCCCCATTGTGGCCCCGCCCTTCCCCCGGGGGTCATGATTTGAACAATTTAGAATCCACATTATATCAGGATGCTTTCATATAAGTTTCAGCTTTTCTGGCCCAGTGGTTCTTGAGAAGAAGATTTTCAAAGATTTTTCCTATATATTTCTATGTAAAACTTTGATTCCCCATTGTTGCCCCGCCCTTCCCCCGGGGGTCATGATTTGAACAATTTAGAATCTACATTATATCAGGATGCTTCCATATAAGTTTCAGCTTTTCTGGCCCAGTGGTTCTTGAGAAGAAGATTTTCAAAGATTTTTCCTATATATTTCTATATAAAACTTTGAATTCCCATTGTGGCCCCGCCCTTCCCCCGGGGGTCATGATTTGAACAATTTAGAATCTAAATTATATCAGGATGCTTCCACATAAGTTTCAGCTTTTCTGGCCCAGTGGTTCTTCAAAGATTTTTCCTATATATTTCTATATAAAACTTTGATTCCCTATTGTGGCCCCGCCCTTCCCCCGGGGGTCATGATTTGAACAATTTAGAATCTACACTATACCAGGATGCTTCCACATAAGTTTCAGCTTTTCTGGCCCAGTGGTTGCTGATTGGTCGACCTGGGTGTACTGAAATCCAATTAGAACTCTGGAAAAAAATCCCTATTTCTATGAACACCGCAGGCCAAGGGTTTATGAGGAGAGTAGCGAATCAGAAACCCTTGGATAGCGAAGATGAGAGTCACCCTGATGGAACTACAAAGAGCAAAAAGAGGGAAAACACATACCTTTGTGTAGCTACAATATAGAAACAACCAAACTACAAACTGATCCCCCTGCAGTCAAATGGAGGCAATCCAGAGGATCACATACACTACCGACATGATACGTCAAGACAGAAAATGACCTCTTTTCACATGAACACCACGAAACTCACTTTTAAGGGCCGAATAAATTATTCAAAAAGATACCAAACGTGCAGACGTATAAGAAACTAAACAAAAATTAACACCAGGCCACCATCCTACACTTCCAAAAGTACACATATATAGCAATTCATATAAATACACAATTACATGTACATGTAAAATACATAATTAAATTTATGAATACATACAAACATTTATTATAAGATCAACCTGATACATTTTCTTAACTTACCTTTCTCCTATGGCCAAGTCAACTACACATTTTTTTTTACCAATTTCCATCCTCTGTAAACCCCCCCCCCCCCAATCTCTACAAAAGACCCCAAATCACCTCTAACCCTAATTTCACAGATAAATAATTCAAATTTTTGTTAATTATTCTCTCGAAATGTCTTCAATATTCAATTAAATTGCTAAAAATAACTTTTAATGACTTTCACTTCACTTTACTTATTAAAAAATGGGGTCTCTATAGGGAAAAGAGTACCAATTAATTTCCCATAGAACTCTATACAAACCTTTTGCCCTCAAAGTAATTTACTAATTCCCGTTCAAACAAATCACTGGTATTATT